ACTTGGAATTGAACTCATGACCTCACACTTGCCAGGCAAGTGCTGTGCCACTGAACTATATCCCTGGCCCCAAAGGCAGAAAATTTAAAAGGGGTTAGGGAAAAAAAGAAAGAGAAGAATAAATCAGAAGAAAGGCTGGAGGACAGAAGAAGATCGAGCAAACTTTAGAAAACTAGTGCAGAAGACAAGAGAGAAAGAGAGAAGGAAGAACAGGCCAGAATGACAGCCACACACAAAAAAAACTAGAAACCATTCACACTCATATAAAAACAAAAACAGGGAAGGAAAAAAAAAGAGAGAAAGAAAAAAGCATGTCCACTTCAGGGTTTGTCTCTGCTGTCACTGGTAGACAATGTGTGGAGATAGAGTCCAGATCCACGTTGATTTATCCCAGAAAGCCAGCAGTAGCTTTATGGTGGTGCATTGGATACTTTCAGCAAGCTGCACCTTTATTTCCCCTGAAGTTCAGGCTGGTTTCTGGCCATGAGGCTGGGACCAGACCTGTTCTGCCTGCAGCAGTCAGCACACCTTTTGTGGGCTTGAACTCTGGTGGAAGCCGCTAGATAGACCCAGCAGCTGTTCTGAATTCTGAGCTCAGTTGGCCCCTGTCCCAGATGGCTCCCAGCCAATTGCCCAACCCCACAGCACTCAGCACCATCCACTCAGCACTCAGCAGCACTCAGTACTGCCCCCTTCCACTGCTGCATCTCTCTGTGAAGGCCCTGGGGTTGCTGTCAGTCACCGTGTGTCTGCAGGTTTGAACTGCTCCCACACAGTGAGTCCTGAGTCCTTCTTCTACATTGAAGTTTCTCTTTGCTCTCCCCCTGGGCATCTGTTCTCTCTTCAGATCCTTTCTGAGTCCAGGGGATCCACTGTCCCCCTTCTTCTCTTCCTCACATTGCTAATGTTCCACTGTTTGGACAGCAAGTCTCAGAGAGGCTGTTTCTCTGTAGCTTACCACTCCACCATCTTCCCAGAAGTCTGGCCTTTTCTTTTTATGGGAAAGAAATGAGATACAGAAAACCACATCAGAGCTGAGTGTAGTGGTGCAACCTGTAATCCCAGCACTCAGGAGGTTGAGTCAGGAGGATCACCATGAGCTCAAGCTCAGCCTCAACTACATAGTGAGTTCAAGAGCAGCTTGCACTACATAGTGAGATCCTGTCTTTAACACACACACACATACACACACACACACACACACACACGAGGCTGTGAGAAGCTGAACTGAGGTGGTGGCTATGGGGATGGCGGTGGGGGGTACTTTTCTTGGTATTTTACGTATATGATCACCTAGACCAGCTGATTATTGAAAGGGATGCAGAAGAGGGAAGATTCCAAGATGTGTCATATATCT